ACTACTACTACTACTACTGTTGTCCTAAACGTGGAAGCCAACCTGCCTTCTTCGGGGCATGGCTACGTAGTGATGTGTGTGTATGTCTCTGAGATACCATTCACGAATCACGAATATCATATGAGCAGCTCCCAAAATTATGGGCCCCTTTTGGCTGTATTTAAGGGGTGCCAAACTGGGACCTTAATTTTAGGAAAAGCCCGCATAAAACATTGATTCCCGTAAACGATGCACGCTACAAAACCATGCTTCACCCTTTGGGTGATCTTGGGGAGGTTCAACCAACATGCTACATATTGCCGAACAGGGACTCGGAAGTGCTACGTATTGCCTCGGGACTCGTGAGGAAGATGTGTGAAACTAGCGAACTTGATTATTCCCAAAGTCTTTTGTCACAATAACGGCAAGAATGCCCCCAGGTTTGCCCTTACTCAATCTGGACCAATTGCCATTTGGAATGCTGCTTTAAAATTCTCTGTCTGACGCTGGCTGAATCAAAGACGTATGGCAAGGACCGGGAGACATGGGTTTCATCCTTCAGTCGGAAGGCGGCATACCTACCCCAACGCCTGGGCCCTGGCTCCTCAGCCGTGAGCTGAACAACTGGCCTCCTTGGTGGACATGCGGCCGCGGAAGAGTGCCGCAGCAGTCAAATAACGGCCATGACGTGGATCAGCAGCGCACATCCTCAGGTTTCGTGTGTGCGTGTGTATGGGAGGAAGAGGTGACTACCACGAGAAACCATTGGGATCCCTCTAGACTCGGGTGTAAAGCTTCGGGTTCCTCTTTAGCGTGACGCGGGTCGTGCTCAGAGAGTGCAAGTTGTGTTTCGGTTTATGTGTGTTTGTGTGCCTGCGCGGGCCACGCGCGCACATCCGGCATCCGCCCCATCCCGCACTCACGCATGGAACTCTCAAGCTACTGCTCCAGCTACCTTGAATAAACATAAATTCGTGACCCTTTTAGAGCATGAAGCTTGGACGGTGGTGTACCTGATACTCTGAGCAGAACCATTAAGGGCCCAACAAGTTGGGAATTTACGAAACATACCACAAATCTATTGCGCGAGCCACTTTTGCAAGGTGGGGGGCCCATGACCTCCCGGAGCTTGAGTGATAGTAATATGTATAGTATTAGTAAAATATCGTAAAGAGTAAGAGGTATATTAATAAAAGTATGAGTAGCCGTACTACTTATAGCAATAGCAACAGAGTGTAGGGGTCTTCGGCTGATTGCATGTTTTTGGCGTCAAACATTTGCTGCGTCAACTGATTAAAAAAAGTAAAACGTAGGTCCGGTAGAGCAAGAAGTCTTGTCTTCACCCCACCCTCTTCGATCATCATCTCGAGCACGCAGCCAGTAGGCATTGGTGATACTCGTCGAAAATGTCCATCTTGAAGTGCAGGATCTTATTCACGAGCTTCCTGCGTCTAACCAGATCTGAAGACCACGCAGCCGACCTGGAGAAGGACTCCATAGAGCAAGCAACCGCGGCATCATCTGCAAGCTTGTTGAGACGTCTCCAAAGAGGCGGAATTTGTGCCCCCCTTCCTGAACGTCCGTGAGCGGGAACCCAAGCAACTTGGAAACAAGAGCGGCGCTTAAGCACTGCCCTAAGCTCACGCCACAAGTAGGCCTTAGACAACTGAACCGAGGAGCCAGAAATCCCCGAAACAACTGCCTTGCGATCAGTCAAGAAAGAAACATTATTAAAATTGGCTCTTTCGGCCGCCGACGCAGCAACGTACACAGCAACCAACTCAGCAGCATCAACTGTCGTTTCAACGCGACCGAGGTCGCGGACAAGAGTATGTTCACCCTCTTCGGAAAGCCAAGAGACCGAGAAGGCAGCAACCCTAGTGTCAGGATCCGGGGGATTCTGAGCGCTACCGTCAGTACCTATAAAATTTTTTTCGTCAACACAGGAAGGGGGAAAAGCCCTGAACTCCGAAAGCAACCCCACAATCCAACCCTCAATAGAATCCAAAGTCCAGTCGACCGTTCTGGGAGGAGCAGGAGCGGGAGCCCAACCATTCAAAGCAAAAGCATGGCAAAAATGTTCAGGAACCAAGTTCTCCAGATCTTGAAGCTGGAGACTGTGCTTGTCTCGAACATGTTGCGTGTGAGACACTCCCACATGAGGTGCATTGTAGTACCCTGGTTGCAGAGCAGGAGCAGTCACTTTCAACTCCGGAACCTGGAATATGAGCAAGACGTTCCATGTTCGGTTCGGCACCTACTACATTCCTCCATGCCAAAGCCCTTTGCGAGACCTTAGCCTTGGAGAGAAACTCACAGAGAGGAGCAGGGTCGATAGATGGAGTGTCGATGGAAATGTGCCTTTTGCTACGATGACTATCCCATCCCTGTCGGAGAAGGTGCCCCAACACAGCATCGCTAACTAAACACAAATCAGAACGACCTTGGGGTAAATCAACAATGTAAGGGGACTCAGTGATACCCCAGCGCAGGCACGAGTATGCATCCCTAAGACGCTTGGCCAAGCTGCTTCTAACACCCAAGTCACAGCCCCAAGCGTAAAGCAACCCTTGGGCCCATTGCGAACTGCGACATCTGAATGCGGCGAGCGGCAAAAACAGCGGAAAAGAGACCTATGGCGACAGGCTCAACCTGCCAGCCCTGCCTCTGTACCACCCAAGAGGCACCCCTGTGTCTCCAAGTGGCAAAGCGCTTGCGTGACTGAACCGTCCTTTCAACCTTAGTAGCCATCTTGGCGCTCTCCCGGAAGGAGCACTTGACCCAAGACGCGTCCCATCGCAGGAGTCCCATGGTAGCAACACTCGCACGGTGGAGTTTGTGCTTGTTAAGACTGAGACAACGGGAAACCTTATGCAGCCGATCGAGTCTTTTCATGACTTCAGCTTTCCTACTCAAAGCCTTTGGGGCCAAAGAAGGGGCCCGACGACCCTGCAGATCGAACCTAATCCCTAACAAATCCAAATGGTCACAGCGGGCATTAGGGAAGGACTGGAAGGCCTCATCAGGGCCCTCGAGTTGACCACATAAATCGTCAAGTTGCTGCACAAGATCCCTGGCCCTGACAAAATCGGCAACATTGTAGGCAAGGGTAGTTCGGTCATCAACGAACGTTTGAAAGGAGACTTCGGGAATTTCTGCGGCCAGAACAGCTGTATGAGCTGCAGCATAAAGAGCCCCCCCCAGCGGACTAGGGGATCTCCCTGAGCCAAACCTCGAGAGGGTACTTTCCAGCTTCCAGCAGCCGGCCCAGCCCGAACTACTGCTGGGCGTAGCTCGTTAAGACCAAAAAGCAGGTCAGCATGGCGTGCAAGCATGCCAAATTCCTTAGCCAGTTGGGACGCAAGAGATGCATCCAAGCGCGTAAAGCAGTTGGAGAGATTACTTTGACGAATGAGGAGGGGGCTACCTTGGACGACCGCCCGACAAATAGCATCCTCAACACCGAAAAGCTGATCTAAAGCATCAGTACTCTGAACTTGTTTGACCGAAGGACGGCAACGCTTGAAGGGCATTTTTTCCAGGCACCTTGTCACCACGCAGGTAACCCCTATGGGCCAGAAATCCTGCGCACTTAGCTGTTCAGCGGCCACCGGGGGATCGGCAACAGTCTTTTTAGGAATCATAACGACTTCTTGGAACCTCAGCGCTTGCGGCCAAGTGGCGGTATCCTTAATGAGATTGCACAGCTCTAAGAGTCGCAGTAAAGCGACCTCAAAAAACTTGGTAACGTTTCAGCGGCCTACTGCTGCGTCAACTGGTAGTAGGACAAGTAGAGCAAGAAGTCACGTCTTGCGCTCCACACTCAGCCCAAAGAACTCAAGCAAGTCCCCGCGCAACAAGGCGCGAGTGCAGGGAATCGAAGACCTCGGTCTTGAACCTTAGTAGCTTCAAGACGAAAAGACGTTGCCTGTTTAGGCATAGAGCACACTCCTTAGTCCCAAGAAAGGCACGCAGAGAGCAGTCAGCACCTGCTTCGTCTGCATGCTTGTTCAAGCGTCTCCAAAAATCAGGCACAGATCGTTCCCTGGCGCGCCCGTGACTGGGCACCACCAAATATCAAAGGAATTGCGACTGAAAATGGAAGCTAAGTGCGTCCACATAAGAACCTTAGCAGCACGAGACACGGAACCTACTGAGCCCGGAACCGCCCCCTCATGATCAATCAAAATTTTCACACTATTCAGGCCAGCTTGTTCACTGGCAGCTGCTGCCACAACAACAGCAACAAGTTCAGCAGCGTTAACTGTGGATTCAACACGACCTATGTCGCGGGCGTAGGTGTGAGTCCCCTCCTCAGTATCCCAAGCAACAGCAAAGGCAGCCACCCTTGTGTCTGGGTGAGCTGAATCCTGCGCGCTACCGTCGGTAGCAAGAAAAATCTTATCCTCAGAAGCAACAGGAGCGTGAGTGACCAACTCCCTGCTAAGCTCGTCAGCCCATTTCTGAATGGACTGAAAGGTGAAGTCTACTCCTCGCACTGGCACGGGAGCTGGAGCCCAACCATTCTGCAAAAAGGCGCCAAAGTCCTCAGCTTCGGGAAAACTGATGCAATGCTTAGCCCTTAATGCGAGAGCCTCGGCGTTGGGGCACTCCCACATCATGTGGATGGTGGTACCTCTTTCGGCATTGCACCAAGACAGCCCGCCTCTACGTTGACCCCAGCCACGTGTGACATCCTTTCAGCGTTAGGCTCGGCTGCCACGGTACATCTCCAAGCCAAGGCGCGTTCGCTTGGAGTCGCGGCACCAACAAACTAATTTAATGAAGAGGATGGACATCAATGCCATGTTGCGCCAGCCTTGCCGCAACAAGTGTCCGAGATCAGCTTCGCTGATCATGCCAAGCTCCGCCTTGCCCTGAGGAAGTTGGAACACGAAAGGCGAACCAGTGTGTCCCCACTTAAGCCTCGCATAAGCGTCCCTGAGAGTGTCAGCGAAGAGGACGCCGACGCCACTGCTGTCATTCCATGCCTGCTCCACTGACTGGACTGAAGGCTTCTGGCTGCAGAAATAACGGCAAAGGTCTGGATGGCCACAGGCTCGACCTGCCACCCTTTTGTAATCATCACCCATGAGGCACCACGATGTCTCCAAGCAGCGTACCGCTTGCGATTCTGCAAAATGGGCTCAACCTTGTAAGCGAGAGAAAAGCAATCTTTGAAAGACGTCTCAATCCAGGCAGCATCAAAACGAAGAAGACCCATCGCGCCAGCCACCACTCTCTGTAGAGCAGCCTCCCCAAGGTGAAGGCCCCGACTAACTTTCAGAAGGCGGTCCAACCAGCGGTGAACTTCCTTTCTCCTGGCAGCAGCCTTTGGCGACAGCGAGGGAGACCCATGCCCATTCTTCTTTGTACGGGTCTTCTGCCTGGCCGCTAAGATAGTCCAGTTCGGTGAGCAAGAAGACAATCCCGTGCGTCTCTTCGCTGCTGTGAGTACAAACCGTCCTGTCATCAACGTAAGTCTTGAGAAAGACCTGAAGAAAGGCAGAATGGAGAACTGCAGCGTGAGCGTTAGAATACAAAGCTGCAGCGAGCGGACTAACAGGATCACCCTGGGCCATCCCGCGCTCGGGCAAAAACCAGTCGCCACAGGCAGCACCTGCTTTGACCGCCGCGGGGCAAAGACGATTCAAACCGAAGAAGAGCTCGGCTTCCCGGGGCCTCACTCCATGCCACTCCGCCAACTTCTTAGCGACGTCACAGTCCAAGCGCGTAAAGCAGTTGGAAAGGTCACTCTGTCTCACAAGCAAAGGACGGCGGGACGCCCTTGCGCTGGAGTTTTGGCTGTCCACACCAAAGAGGACGTCTGAGGACGTCCATGACATTAGTAGTTTGGACCAAGGAAGTCCACTGCTTGTAGCGTCTCAGCAACATCTTCTCGATACATCTGGTGATAATCGCAGTAATGCCAATGGGGCGGAAATCCTGGGAACCAGTTTTGGGAAGCATGACCACTTCCTGATATCTAAGGGCTTGAGGCCAACGAGCCGTCTCTAGGATGAGATTGCTTAAAGCAAGCAGGCGATCAAGAGCCGCCGGAGGAACTTCAAGCAAGACATCAGCACCTAACTGTGTAGGCCCGGGCGCGCTACCTTTACAGAGGCGAAGAGCCCTGAGAAGCTCCTTTTTAGAAAAGGGACGATCAACGTCACCAGGCGAAGGGTGATGCTGAGTGAAAGGCCTAACTTTTTTCAAGATAAGCCTCCCCGTGATCTTGCAAGGCCTGGCAGGACTTAGCAAGCCAAGCTTGCTCAGCAACCTGTTGAACTGCAGTGGGGCAAGCCGTAAGCCCGTCTCTACTCTCAACAGCAGCAAGGGTCCCTCGGCTCTTACCACCTATGTAATCGAAGAGGCTTTTGAAACCTTGCTTCCGAGTGCCCTCACACCACTGGGCGAGCCTGTCTGCGGCGGTGCACTTAGAGTCCTCGAAGAGATCCTTTTCAATCGCCACTCTGATGGACCGAAAACCCGTAAGATCCGGACAGTCAAGAAGAAACCCCTGCGAACGCAGACTGTGAACATTCTTGAGGGCATTCCTAAGCAAACAAAGATCAATTTTGACCCCCTTGGCTCTGAAATTCAATCTCCACAAAACGGCGCCAAGCCCTATGAAGACGTCTAGTGTGACAAGGCAAACGAGTGGCCTGAGGGCCCCGCCACACTGCGAGCCGGGTACAAATTTCCGTGTTGTCGCGATGAGCCTGATTAGCCGGAATGCCGGCAGCCTGTTCTAAGCAGCGGCACCAACAAGACCAAGCCTTCTCAACGTCCAGTTCCAAGACTCGCCAAAACTGGGCCACAACTCTTGCCACCGAGAGACCCAACCCTAAAAGGAGCAACCCAAATCGGAAAACCTACGGAGGGACCGAAAAGGAACCTGATCAGGAACCCTAACCCTGAGAAAAATAGCGTCATGATCAGCAATTCTCAAGTCTTTATGAAAATCAAGCACGGTGAGGTGGCGAACCATGGCCAAATCAATGCAGGAACTATCCGTGGACAGGTACTCCACCCCGGCAGCCACGTGAGCAAACTGCAGATGATCCCGCAGAGGCCCTAACTCAAAGTCAAGGGGCTCAGACAGCAGGAAGACTGGATTGAAAAATCCTAGCCCCAACCTCTCTACAAATGCGCTCACGACTATGCCTAGCATCCCCACCCCCAACCGGAGGGTACAAGCACAGAAGCAAGACATCCGCCGATCAGGATCGTCGTAAGGCTGAGCGTTTTCAGAAGGCTACTTCTCACGCCGGTTTCCCGGGGTACTCCGTTTCCCCTGGCACGGGCCGTGGATGTGGCACGCTTTTGGCAGGGCCGCAAGGTTTACTCAAGGACCCCTTTGCTTGGTCTGATGAATGCGAGGGCCGTGTGGCTAGCGCGGTCCTCAGATGCGTGGGTTTCCGCAATGCCGATAACATCCGCACTGAGGATCTCAGCACGGCGCTTGAAGAGATCCCACTTACCCAAGGACCGATCACCGGCCAAACCACGTAAGTTGCCAAAAAGAGGAGACAAAGAAGCGTTACCGCGTCTTCTCGGACACGCAGGGGGGCCAGGATTTGGGCCTCGCCAATCCTATACTTTTCAGCTGGTCTTCAAGAAAAGTTCTTGGGCGGCGTAGCAGCATATCTCTTGGAAACGATGGTGTGACGCGTAAGTGTTTGCTTTTCGCACCTCTTGCGCATCAAAACACTCATCTTAGACCTGGGGTCTTTGGGGGAACGACTGCTCTTTCGTGGGTCCTTACGCAAAGTAAGCGGCACAGCCCCCTTAGTAAGGCAGCCCTCGACCTTTCGCACTTCGACCTCAACGAGCCGCGTAGCTGGGCAAGCTACCCTTCTGGCAAAGGACAAGGCGTAGAAACCCTCACAGTTCCTACAGGGAAACTTGCGGCCCATACGTCCTTGTTTCAACCGGCTCATTCTTCAAGTCATGAAGATTGGCCAACACCTTAGCGCTGAGAATGGCGCGAAGGTTGCACCACGCACCACTGGGACCAGGCCTTTTGCTGTTGGCCTTCAGAAGCCTTGCTTGCTACGCGCAGGCTCTTTTGTCGAAGCTGAGCATTGGTGAGCCTAGGGAAGGGACGACCCGGCTGGCACTCCCCGAAACGCTGCCGAGCAGCCCAGACTTGATCATTGCTTTCTGTCCTAGAGATTACTTGTGGCGCTTCTGGCAAACGCCACCCGCCGCAGGGACACTGAAAGAGGCCACCTTTGACCCATTCATGTTGCTCGCTCCAGCCCTTAGACCCATGGATGGCCTGATCTGCAAGCGATGCTTTCGGCACCGCTCTTGCTAGCTAAAAAACGTAAGCTGAGGCCTTAACTCCACTCTTCGACAACCCGAAAGGTAGAGTTGGAAGCTTGGCTTTTGGCGCCCGGTTTGAGAAGGTAGAGGCCCTGGATTTGGGAGAGGAAGCTTTAGTCGCACAACCAAGCCTGAAGATGGAAACCGAAGCTCCCTCTGTTTTTTTAGTCGCCGCCTTCCTTTCTGAGCCTGAAACACTAGGAAAAACACCAGCACGAAAGGAAGAAGCTGAAGCCACTGAGGAGTTTGCAGCTTTTTTGTCCGTTCCCGGCAACAGACATTTTGCTGAGATTTCCTTTGGTGAGCTTAAGAACCTTGCCAGCCCCTGCTCCCCGACCCTTGTCCCTGAGGCGCAGGCCCCTTGGCTGCGCAACCACGCCTCAGGGAAGCCCTTTGCCACAGGCCTTACTGGACGATAATGGTGATTTTTCAGCAACAGGACCAAAGGTTGTCCCTCGGCCTTAGGATTAAGACATCTGCGAGCCCTATAGAGTCAATGTAGTGGACAACGACCCTTTCCTTCATTTTCTCTGCAGCCGCCTTCAACTGCAGCTCATCAATCCAAAAACTGGGCTCTTCGCACTTTTGCAAGTACTCTTGCCAAGACTCTCTGGTGTACTCTGGGTTGGCCTCGTCAGGCTGCCAGCCTGCCTGAAAACGACGCTCCTCCTTCAGCAACCACTGCGCTGTTTTAACCCTGAGGCTAGCAGCGTCCTTGCAAATTGAGTCTTCGCTGAGCTTTAGATCGTATTTCGTAGAGAAATACAGAGCAGCGACCAAACTCTTGTAGCTGCAGGCTCCTTTGCCCCCGGCCTCTACAACTTCGTATCCTACAAGCGGACAGGTGGGGTCCTCAATTCGCTCGGAAGAACCGAAATCAACAACGGATTTGAGCTTCTTACTCGGTGGCTGCCCTGTAGCGGGCGGCCGCTTCTGAGACGCTGCATCAAGCTGAGTAGCGGCAGCCTGAGTTTCTTCTTGAGCTGCCTCTGCCATGCCCTGGTGTTCAGTGTCCTTAGCGTGCCAAGGAGCGCGCGGCCTTGAGAGGGGTCTGCTATGCTCCACTTTTGCCCCTTGCTTGCGAGACATGTTCTCCTACTTCGTACAGAGAAGAAGTTTCCGCAGATAGCCTTTTGGAAGCCCTGAAGCGCCAAGACTTCCCGGCCTGGCCCAGGATTTGGGGAGCCTTCCAGCCCAATTCAGCCAGAAATGTTTGCAAATCTTCCACCACCCAAGATGGCGGGCAAAACGCACCAAACAAAGGGAGCGTGAGAACGAGGGTCTAAGCCATCCTTGTGGAAACCAAGGTCCTTGCCCCCACCAAGCGGATGAACAAGACCCCCCTTGGCCTTGTTTTTCGCCAGGTCGTCTTTGGCCAGTTGCCAGTAAGTAAAGTCATTGGCATCGGCCGGTCTAGGGACCCAGAATGGGGCGGAGTCTTTCCCCGAGGGTCACTTAGAAACGAACAAAGGAGTCTGTCCGCTCTTCTGAAGCAAAAGCTCGGCAATGTCAGGCGCCCACTGAACGGAAGCAGTGACAGCCACTAACTCATCTTTGATCTTTCCAATTCTCGGGGCAAGCTGCTTCGGTGACAGGCTGTTTCTTGAGAATCGGCTCAATTAACCGGCTTGTTTGACGCCTCCTTGGGTTTCTCAGCTGGAGCAGGCCCTGCTGAGCCCTTACTTGCTTCAGCAACCTCGGAGAGACCATCGAGCCTCAGATGACCCGCCTGGGCCGCCCGCAGCACTGAGTTAAGTTTCTTCAGCAAAGCAGGTCCCGACAAGGGACGTTCAAGCAAACGAGAAAGGGAGAACCTCAGCGAGTTCTTGCCCTTAGCAGCGTTGCCCAGTGGCCTGAGGAGACGACTTGCTAGCAGATCCGTCCTGTGGGGCAAATATCTTTGCCACCTCTTTGAGGGCCAACAAGAGTGGTTCCTGCTCTGTTGACTGGTTTTTGTTCTTCTTACTCCCTCCCCCTTGCAGCCGAGACACAAGAGGCACACCACACTCGCACCCTTCGTAGTCGTTGACAACGATGTCCAATCCTCTGGGCCAGCCTCTGGGACAAAGAACCCGGCACCGAGCACGTCTTATAGAGATCTCGCCCTCGAAGAAGCCGAAGTTGAGCCAAAACGGCCAGAGCTCAAACGTCGCCATGAGGACATACCACGAAGCCCTTGTACCCGTTGAAGTCCCAACTTTCTTGCCTGCGCAACCAGTGAGTTCGACCCACCGAGAGCTTTGAAGGTCAGGCTTGAGCCCCAACAGACCGAGCTCCACGTCTCCGCTCTCCTGGTCGCCATTTGCTTTCCATGGCGGCGCAAGGGGGGTTAGGCTGTATGGGACCCTTGGGGGGGCCGGCCACTTGGCCTTCAAGAGGCTCTTGGGGTTTTGGCGTCCCCTCCGCGTTCTTCACTCTTTTGGACACACGGCCCAAAAAGTCAAAACTCGTCGCCGTCGGAAAGGAAGACACCCCGGTCGTCATCGTCGTCGAAAACGACTGCATCATCGTCATTCCCTGGTAACCGCAGGACACACTAGGCTTGACTGTCGCCTGGGGTTTTAGCGTCCCCTCCGCCACTGCTGATTTTGGATCTTGCTTGATTGAATAAACTGCTGAAGCAGCCTCCAGTTCCAAAGGAGAAAATACGTGGGTAACTCCACGATCGCTCTCCTTGGAACCTGTTGTAAAGGGCTGAGCTGATTGCACCAAACCAAGGACCACAACCGGAATCCTCGGCCTGCTGCGGAACTACTTTAGCTTGCATGGACGTATTAAAAGAATTATCGTCATCACGTGAAGCCTCGTGCTTCACATCAGACTGCTGGGTAGGGCACACATCCACGGCACGTGCAACTTGCACAAAAAAGTGTGAAGCCCTGGCACGCACATCATTACAGACGGCTTTGATCCGACGTCTAATGAAAAATACGTGTTGCAGTTTGTGCAGCAAAGGGTTGCTGCCCGCCCCTCACGGAGAACGAGATGTTCAGGACGCCGCAACGATGAGGAGCTTGCTGCGTCAACTATAGATAGAGTAGGTCCAGTAGAGCAAGAAGTCACGTCTTCACCCCACCCTTGTCGAAGCTCATCGCGAGCACGCAGCCACAAGGCATTGGTGACACTCGTCGAAAGTGTCCATCTTGCAGTGCAGGATTTTGCTCACGAGCTTCCTGCGTCTGACCAAATCTGAAGCCCACGTAGCCGACCTGGGAGAAAGACTCTATTGAGCAAGCGACCGCGGCATCATCTGCAAGCTTGTTGAGACGTCGCCAAAAAAAATGGAACCTGAGCACCCCTTCCTGAACGTCCGTGGGCCGGTACTCAAGAAACACGGAAGCAAGAGCGGCGCCTAATCACTGCCCTGAGTTCACGCCACAAGTAGCCCTTAGACACCTGGGCCGAGGGTCCAGGATTTCCGAATGATCAGTCAAGAAAGAAACATTATTAAAATTGGCTCTTTCGACCGCCGACGCAGCAACGTACACAGCAACCAACTCAGCAGCATCAACTGTCGTTTCAACGCGACCGAGGTCGCGGACAAAAGTATGTTCACCCTCTTCGGAAATCCAAGACACCGAGGGCAATCCTAGTATCAGGATTCTCAGGATTCTGAGCGCTACCGTCGGTACCAAAAAAATTTTTTCGTCAACGAGGGAAGGGGGAAAAACCCTGAACTCCGAAAGCAACCCCGAAATCCAACCCTCAACCGAATCCAAAGTCCAGTCAACCGACCTGGGAGGAACAGGAGCGGGGGCCCAGCCGTTTAAAACAAAAGCATGAAAAAAAACAGCAGGAACCAAGTTCTCCAAATCCTGAGATTGGAGGCCGTGCTTATCTCGCACGTGTTGCGTGTGAGGGCATTCCCACATGAGATGCATCGTGGTGCCCCTGGTTGCAGAGCAGGAACAGTCACGTTCGACGCCAGAACCTGGAATCTGAGCAAGACGTTCCATGTTCGGTTCTGCACCTACAACATTCCTCCGCGCCAGGGCCCTTCCCGAGGCCTTAGTCTTGGAGAGAAAGTCATGGAGGGGAGCAGAATCAATGGAATCAGTATCAACGGAAATGTGCCTTTTACTACGATGACTATGCATAATGAAGCTTCTCCATCCCTGTCTGAGAACCAAAACAGCATCGCTGACCAAGCACAAATCAAAACGACCTTGGGGGAGATCGACGATGAAGGGGGACTCCGTGATACCCCAATGCAAGCAAGAGTATGCGTCCCTGAGACACTTGGCCAAGCTGCTTCTAATACCCAAGTCACTGCCCCAGGCATCAAGAAACCCCTGCGCCCATGGTGACATCTGAATGCGGCGAGCAGCATAAACAACAGAGAAGAGGCCGATGGCGACAGGCTCAATCTGCCAACCCTGCCTCTGGACTACCCAAGAGGCACCCCTGTGTCTCCAAGTAGCAAAACGATTGCGCGACTGAACCGTCCTTTCAACCTTAGTGGCCATCTTGGCGCTCTCCCGAAAGGAGCTTTGGACCCAAGACGCGTCCCATCGCAGGAGTCCCAAAGTAGCAACAATCACACGGTGAAGGTTCAGGACGAGACAACGGGAAACCTTATGCAGCCGATCGAGTCTTTTCATGACTTCCGCTTTTCTACTCAAGGCCTTGGGGGCAATCCCCAATAAGTCTAAATAGTCCGAGCGGGCGTTAGGAAAGGACACGAAGGCCTCATCGCAGTTGATACAGGCGAATTCTTGTTCTTATCGTCCTCAATTTGACCACGTAACTCATTGAGTTGCTGCACAAGATCCCTGGCCCGGACAAGATCGGCAACATTGTGGGCAATGGTGGTTCGGTCATCAACAAACGTTTGAAAAGAGAGTCCGTGAACCTCAGCGGCCAATACTGCTGTATGAGCTGCAGCATAAAGAGCTGCTCCCAATGGACTAAGGGGATCTCCCTGAGCCAAACCTCGAGATGGAACTTGCCAGTCTCCAGCAGCAGGCCCTGTCCGGACTACTGCTGGGCAAAGCTCGTTAAGACCGAAAAGCAGGTCAGAATGGCGTGCGTGCCTGCCAAAATCCTTATCCAGTTGAGATGCGAGAGAAGCACCCAAGCGCGTAAAGCAATTGGAAAGATCACTTTGACGAATGAGGAGGGGACTACCGTGGACGACCGCCCGACAAATAGAATCCTCAACACCGAAAAGCTGATCTAAAGCATCAGTACTCTGAACTTGTTTGACCCAAGGACGGCAGCGCTTCAACAGCATTCCTTGTCACCACGCAGGTAACCCCTATGGGCCAGAAATCCTGCGCACTTAGCTGTTCAGCGGCCACCGGGGGATCGGCAACAGTCTTTTTAGGAATCATAACGACTTCTTGGAACCTCAGCGCCTGCGGCCAAGTAGCAGTGACCTACCAGCCTTTCAAGAGCTGCCTGGGAGGGCTTTAGGAGGGCCTCCGCAGCCCATTGGGCGGGACCAGGGGCAGAACTTCTGAAGCCCTGCAAAAGCAGCCTAAAGGGCTCGTCCCCCTCCGGAGGTGGAGCCTGAGACCGCAAAAACGGGCGGACCCTTTGCAAGTAAGAGATTCGTTGTGCCTCTGACAGAGGCGCACGCATCTTGCGACTCCACGCTTCTCCGGCACATGCTTGAACAATCGCCGGGTCGGCAGAAGGGCCCTGAAGAGTTTGAACCGCCGTCAAACCAGGACGAGTCTTATTGCCGACAAGGTCAAAAAGGGCCTTCATGCCCCCTTTCCGGGCACCCTCGCGCCACACAGTAAGCCGATCGGCCGAAGTTTTGGCCGCAGTCTTACGCAACTCTTCATTGAGATACTTCCTCATATCAGCAAATTCGGAAAAATCCTGCGACAAGAAACCCTCACAATGAAGAGCCCTGAAACCCGAAAGGACCTTACGCAACGGGCCAGCATCAACTTGAGACCTCTCAACTTGAAGTTCGAGCTCCACAACTCTGCGCCACATTCTATGCAAGCGACGCTCATGAACAGGCATTCGGGAGGCCCTAGGACCTTTCCAAAACACCTGACGGGTGACAAGTTCAGTGCTACGAAAACGATGGGCCTGAGAGCTTGGGATGCCGGCAGCAATCTCAAGAGAACAAGACCATATTTTCCATGCCTCTTCTACACTTTGATTTGCAAGAGCCAGTTTCCACTCTTCTTGCTTCTCAGACAAAATCGAAACCCAACCTTTTTCCCAAAAGGAAGCATCAACCGAAAGAACAAGATACCTACGAATGGCAGAAAAAAGGGAAGGGAGGGGGACTTTAACCTGTAAAAAACACACACCGATGGTCAGCAATGCGCATGTCCGTGTCCATGTCTTCAACCTGAAGGTGCCGGACAAGAGCAAAATCAATACAGGAAGAATATGTAGATGCAAATTCAAACCCTCAAACTTCGTGAGCACATTGGCAAATTTCATGAAGAGGCGCAAGTTCTTCGTTCCAAGGTTCGGAGTTGAAGTCTCCGAGTATCACTGTAGGAACGTCCGCCTCTAAGACACGAGCAGCCACTTCCTCACTGAGATTCTGACACCTGCGTTTTGCTTCTCCATGTCCTACAGGAAAGTAGACAGAGATAAGAAGGACGTCAGACGAACCACGTCTAAGAACAGAACTACCAACACGACCCTCACAATCAGAAGACCAATTATGGGGATCCTGCAGCAGACCTTGGCGGCCGGCCAACATAGTCCCACAAGTTTGGGGTTGACCAGGGGAGCAGTTAAAGCCACCAAACCCTTTGCCAAAAACAGCTTTCCGAAATCTCCAGGCCTTAACGAGATCTAAGTGAGTTTCAGACACGGGCACCACATCAGCAGTTCGAATCTGGGCCCTTGAAGCAAAAAGATCCCATTTACCTACCGAAAGATCACTAGAGAGCCCACGAAGATTACCAAAGAAAAGATTTAGGTGATCTCCCACGTTGGGCTCAAACCTTCGGCCAGCCAAGGGTGGGCCAGGATTATTCGCTTCACCCACCCTGATAGCACCGCTCCGCCAGCTACTGTGCTTCCACAAGTGCCGCGCCCTTGCCTGCCGGCAAGTACGCGGCTAGGCCTTCAAGATTGTTTGTGTTTCTTGGAGACCTGGAAATGCCGAGTCAGAGTCTGTTTGTCTGCAGCTCGACGGCGCTTGCTCGACATACCTTTCATGGGTTTCCCAGAGGATTTGCGGGGGTCCATGTGCTTAGTAAGCTTAGCTGCCCTCTTAGTCCTACAGCCATCGCCCTGGCGCACAGCCAGTTCGACCAAGCGGCCTCGCATCTTGAGATGGTCAGGCGTGGCAGGGCAAGCCACTCTCCTGGCATGGGGCAAATCGTAGCAGCCTCCACGACGGATGCACTCGAACTTGCTTGGGGTTCCCCGGGCAGGCGCAAACCCGAGTTTCCTTGAACTCGTGAAGGTTCGCAAAAACCTTTTCGGAAACAAGGTCAGCTACGTACAAATCCTTTTGCTTGCGTTGCTTAGTTGCCGCGTCAACTGGTATTTGTTGTAGAGCAAGAAGTCACGGTCCTGAGCTCCACGATGCTCGAAATCACTGCCCTCGCCCGCACTGAAGCAGGCGTGAGTGAAAATCCAAAACCACCTCAGCTTGGAACCTTACAGCCTTAGTAAGCGAAGAACTAGTCGGCGACGCCTAGACAAAAAGGAAGCCCAAGCACCAGTTCTAGCCAGGGAACGCTTTGAAACATCCTCAGCAGCGTGATCAGCAGCGTTGTTTAATAAGCGCCAAACATCAGGAACATGTCGAAGCCTAGCCCTGCCATGACCGGGAACCCAAGCAACCTCAAAACAAGTCCTATGCAAAACAGAAGCCAAACGCTTCCACAAAACAAATTTGGCATCACGAGTCTTAAGCCCAGCTATTCCTGAGACTACTGCCTCATGATCACACAAAATTTTTGCACAGGTCAGCTTCGCAGGCCGAAGCAGCAACAACAACTGCAGTAAGCTCGGCGCAATTGACAGTCGCGTCAAGCCTACTGGCCTCTCGATCCCACGTATGGACTGCATCCTCGGTCATCCAAGCAACGGCGAAAGAAGCAACTCTGACGTCAGGCTCGTCCGGATTCGCGCGCCTCCTTCCGTAGCAACAAGTGTGCAACCATCAACAGAGATGGGAACAAACTGTTTCATCTCCGCCGACAAATCGGCGACGAAAGAATCTAAGGCCTCAGACGTGGTTTCTGGACCTCTAGGAAAGACTGGGGCCAAAGCCCAACAATTCTGAAGGAAAGCAGCCCGGTGTGGGCCAATGGCAAACTCATCGCAGTCCTGACGGCACAAGCTATGCTTAGCCCGAAGCTCAGTGGCCTGAGCGCTCGGACACTCTCACATGAGACGCATGGTAGTACTCTCCTGTGAAGAGCACCATGGGCAACTAGGCTGGATCTGGGAACCAGCAACATGAACCATTCGTTCGGGATTAGGCTCAGCTGCGACCACGCACTTCCAAGCTAAGGCCCTTGCGTCAGGTCAGGCGGCAGCCAAAAACTGATGAAGGGGAGTAACATCGATGGTAGGCATGTCGATGCGCACGTGGCGAACAGAGGTGTGTGATTCAATGACTCTGTCACGCCAACCCTGGCGCAGAAGATGCTTGGCTAATCATCCCAAGATTGAACTCACCCTGGGGAAGAGAAACAACGAAAGGATCATTAGTGGGGCCCCAATGCAACATGGCGTAAGCATCCCGCAGAGCTTCCGCAAAGGAGCCCCGAGTGCCCTGAGCATGATTCCAGACCTCATAAAGATCACGGCTATATTCGCTCTGCTGTAACCTTCTAGCCGCAAATGTCACGCCCGAAAATGTGAATAGCAACGGGCTCAATGTGCCAGCCCTGCCGCATAACAATCCAAGCCGCACCCCGATGCGGCCAAGAGTCGTAGCGCTTACGGGACTGCGCGGTCATCTCAATCTTGGTAGCCATTTGAAAAACTTCCTGAAAGGAGGCGTGGATCCAAGCAGCATCAAAACGCAGGAGACTCGTGATGCCGACCACCACTCTATGCAAGGCGGTTCCGCCGAATTGCAGACCACCACCGACGCGGCGCAAACGCTCCAGTCTTGTGAAAACTTCAGCTCTGCGCGCCGCAGCTTTCGGAGAGATGGAATGGGCATTGTCGTTGCAACTGAGCCTGATGCCAAGCAAATCCAAGTAGTCGGAACGAGCCCGAGGAAACTGCCGAAGCATATCCTCACTGGGATGAATGCAAGCCATTTCTTCTTTGAAGGGATCTTCGGCTTGACCAGACAAGTGATCAAGTTCAGTAAGAAGAAAAACAGCCTGTTGCATGTCTCCACACGAACAACTGCACGGAGTGCGGTCGTCAATGAAGGTGTACAAGGAGACCTCAGGGAGTTCGCTGTGAACCACAGCGGCGTGAGCAGCCGCAAAGAGGACCGCTGCCAACGGACTGGCAAGATCTCCCTGAGCCACGCCACGACCAGGGACGATCCAATCCCCACAAGCCGGGTCAGCTTTAACCACCGCAGGTCTAGCCCTGTTAAGGCCACAGAGCAGTTCGGCATGTCTGCTCGGCATCCCGAACAAATAGCCAGCTGCCTTGCAATATCACAGTCCAAGCGGGTAAAGCCATTGGAAAGGTCGCGTTGTCGAATCAAGAGGGCGGAATCCGAAATCTGAGCCCTAGAAATCAGTTGCATAAAACACATCCATGCCTGATGGATCGACTTGGTCCGACTCGTGCAGCTCCTGGCGGGTCCCATGCAGCGTGGTGTCATGGGCAAAGATAGTGTTCTCAACCCAAAAACATTCCCTATGCCTATCGTCATTCTTACGGGTCCAGTGGTATGAAAGGGAAAGGTCAGGGGACCAACGCGATGGGATGCCACATGGCAAGCCTCTTGCCTGAGCATTCTTAACACGGTATTGTCTCTCGCAGTGAAACCCGCGGAGAAAATTAGTGAGAGGTCCATGCGGGGGCGGCTCCGTGATGTGCCAGGATATACCAGAAAGGTTCTTATTGAATTATTGGCCGTGGGGCAGGCCTTCCGAAGATGCATGAGGCCAGCTTCGTAACTCACTTGCTAAACCCCGCCTAAACCCAAAATTTTCAGGCCATGGCAGCTCAGACTCCTCGAACTAGTCCTGGCCCCTAGCATGCATTAACTATACGAGCTAACACCCTAGGGATGGTCCATAGCAGGACCACACCTCGCCACTTGTCCATGGAATTGAAAGGCTCCTTCTGTTTCCACAGCGGCACTTGGAGTCCCAGACCACCCAAACCCCCGTTCTTGCCACTCATGCGCTGGCGTGGTCCACAAGTCTCGCGCAACGCGCTCAATGTCATGAGCCAACTATGTGGATCTGCAAACAGGGCTTTGATGTCAACAGGGGAGACATCATCACCCCGCCGGCTCCCAGCCGCAGCGCACGTACAGCCTTGGCAATTTCAGCTGTAGTGATCATCATCCAGGCGGGTGGAAGCTTCACGGAGAGCCTGTGACACTGGCAACGTGTCAACGAATTGCCGTATGTCATCTGTCAAAAATTCTGCGCTCGCACTGGTGTTGGCGAAGTGCTCGCGCCACTCCACAGGACCAAATGGGTTTTGGCGCGCGGCTTTGTGTGTAGCATGATTCTGCAAGCAGCGCAAGGACTGAAAAAATGAAAGGAGTGGGTCCCCTGTCTTGGCGGGGGGAGACCAGTTCTCAAGCTCACGTTGAGTTCCTCGCTGCCTTCTGTTAGCTGAAGCCTTGCAGCGTCCCTGCGAAGCCACGGCTTCCGACACGACCAACGCACAGGCCCACACACTTCCAAAGTCTGCTGGCTCCCTGTTTGTCGAAAATCCTCGAGAAACGCGTTACGCAACACTTGCAAGTGAGGACGTGTCACAGCCGGGCGAGCAGGACCGCAGGCACGTTGCTCGAGGCGGAACATATACTCCTTAGCTGAGCGCTGGGTTTGTAAAGGGTCGGTTACACGGCGAAGGGTCATGCTGGCCACCCTGGGCAGGTGGCATTTCGGTACAAGCATCCACTCGAAGTCATACCACTGCTTATGAACAGCTGCATACCAGGTACAGCGATGTCTGTTGCCTGTTGCTGGACGAAAGCTATCAGCATGAACCAAATCTCCTAAAGCAAGAACCTTGTCGAACGCAAGCTCATCTAACTGATGCCGACAGGGTGGCCGGTAGCGGCCCAGCACTCCTGCAGGAGCCTTATTTGGTGTAGGCTCCGGCTCAAAAAGCTGTGCGCTGAAATCCCCTGCAATCATTTGCGGCGTGCTGGCACCCACGCCCCTTGTCAGGGGAGTTTAGCAGGCTGGGGTGAAAGGTATTTCTCGGCGGGACACGGAGGCCATGTCACCCCAGAATTCCTCGACGCTCCTAACTTTTGCCCACACGCCCAACACAAGCCACGCCAGGGCACGATCTGCAGTGTCGGCACTGGGGCCCCGAACAACTAGAGTCATGACTCTGCCGGAAGTGGATCGGTGCTTGGGCGCACCCAAGGAATGCCAGGCTGCACTCGATTCAACAATACCCCTACTTTACCCGTATGAACCAGTTCCCATCGCTCCCATTTCCAACGGCGAAACCGGGAATCAGCTGCTGACGAATGGCCTGAGAAGTGGGACTGCACTCAGGGACCAAAATCACTTCCCACCCTCGCCTTGCGGCCAAATTCACTAAGTGTTCAGGCTTATCGGGATTAGATTTTTCCATGTTAACGGACCCTATCCTAACAAACCAGGCTGTGCTGTGATCGGAATGTGAGGGGTCAAACGTGCATCCTCCGCTGTTTGTGCTGCGAGGCGCTGCTCGCGCTGATGGAGATTCCACAAAATTCTACGTCTCTGTTCTCTCTCCCTCCGCTGTCGGTCGACCGCTCTTCGGCGGTGACGTCACGCCGTTTGCGGTTGCGAGTACTCTGTACAAACTCGCCATGGTCATCGGGAAGCCCAACCGATTGCGTTGGCCTGAAGCCTGAAACCTGCGCTAGAACTTGCGCGCGCGAAAAATGCCACTCTCGCACGCGGGTGCTGCTGGAGACGGGTAGGGGCGCAGCAAAACGACCTACCCCCATCTGGGTCGATTGAAAGTGTTCACGTGGCCCGGTATCATGGGAAAGCCTGTTGGGCATGACACCGCGGCAGGGTGACTGGAACTTGCACTAATTCTCCCTGCGCCCTTGCCGGGCTCCACTTTAGTTATAAGCTATAGCATCCGAGGCCCGTCCGCTGTGCCCTCGCGAGGAGGGTTGTGAACACGGCACAACCAGCGCGCGGAAGATGGATGGATGGATGTAGCCCTAAGCTCCGTAGAGCCTGGCTCTTCGATGCCATGGCTTCGAAAGTGGCAAGAAAACTTCTGCAAAATAAGGCACTATACAAGCTAAGCAAAACTGTGGCCCCCTCGACCCGTGGAAAACAAGTAGCCGCACTTGCAGTGCAACCGGCGCATTAACAAGGTGCTGGGGGGCGGGGCCCGTCACTTGAGGCGTGCCCCCCGCAGCTTAACTACCGACCACTGTTCAGCTCGCGGACTAGCGTGCCCCGTCACCGTCGGTTAGGACGGTAGTTCCTAACTTCCCAGGACTTAATGAGGACTTCACGAGAGTTGCTCGAGGGCGCCCCCGGTTGGGTTATGGCAGCCAGTGCGCTTCTGAGGCTGTGCCCTTCGGCAGTGCTAGCCACCGTTATTTCGTATGGGCTTTGATCCGTGGTCCTAGATTGAGCAATGCGAAGCGTGATGTCTGAGACGATGCTGTCTGAACGTCCTTTGCGCACAGCGTCCACGAGCGATGTCAGGGCAGTCTTAGTCTCATCCGGAGCTGCGAGGACAGGGCTCTCTCCGGACATGTGCGTGTGGATCGCCTCCAACAGCGCCTGCAACCTGGCTGTGGTGCACGAGCACCCATCAGGGTGGGGCTTACCAGCCTCGTTTTTTGGCGGCTTGCTCCACCAGATAATTTATGGATTTGGGCACAAACAAGAAGATGGTAAGAGCTGCTTTGACCTTTTCAAGGGCTGCATCGTGTGCACTCAGCAAGAGGCTGATTGTGGTGTCACGCGACCCACTGGAGTTGCTGTTGCCGTTGGGTCGCCGCCTCTTAGGCCGCTGCTCGTTGTCTTGATGCTTAGGCGGCATGGCTGCAGGGACTGCTAGGGACTATGCTTACAATACTAGGACCTTGAGCAAAACTCAACATCATGATACAATGGTCAGGTAATCGGGGTGCCAAGAGAGGTCGCTCCGCGGGGGAGTTCTGAGACATCTCTTGCCACTCTCCTGAATGGTCATGGCCATAGAATTAACAGGAAAATGTTTTGACCGAAGGCTACCCAGCAGGGCAGGTGACTTGTAACGGAGCCAGGCAAAACACAGTTTTGGAGATTACTGCATACGTTGCCGCCAGTTAGCAAGCCTAAATTTCCTGGCGTTGTGACGTTCCTGCCAAAGACCTTTTGAAGGTTAACAGGATTTTGCTCCAAAGCATGATGACCATACATGCTAATGATCTTGGCCCGTAGTGACCGATACTCATCAGTACAGCCGCGACCCTGCGCGTGCATCCACGCCAAGTGCTTGTGTCGGCCAACCTTGTTAGCTTTTGCTTGCAAGGCACGCGTGCTGCTGCTATCCCCGCAGCAACTTGCAGCGAAGTTGCTGCCGCGAATCCCAACCTGACCTTTGCTAATACCAATCGGAGGCTGGAGCCCCACATCTTTAAGCGTCATGCGCAACGTGATTTCGACGGCTGCCTTCACTTCAGACCCGATGTTGTCGACAGTTTGCTGCGTCCACTGATCTGGTACATTTGGCAGGTCAGGTTTGCAGACTTTGCGCCAACGATCATTTAGGGCTTTCTCCCACTCGACTGGGTCTACTTGACACGGTCTAACGAGGGAAGCGGAGAAGCCTAACACAAACCCTGGCTGCAGACGTTCCATACCGGAAGTGCTAGGGATCGTTGCAACAAGCACCTTGTGATCAAACACGTGATCATCAGCAAGCACAGTGCTAATGCGCCTATTATAAACAGCATTGTCAATGCACCGAGGACCCTGCCAACGAGTCGGCAGTTCTTGCCCTCCTGGATTTTTGAATACACACATATTGCCTTCGTGGTCAGACATCGCCACCGCCGGTACAGATTCTTGAAGCAAAAGATTGTAATCCCTATAACGAGCCACGGTGTAGACTGAAGCAGGCCAACCTGATCAAAAACGTAATTCTCAGCATCAACAGAAGAAAATCCTGGTCGAAAATCTGAGCAAAAGCTGGTCAACCCAATCAGAAATAAGTTGGCCTTCGACAGACTTAAAGGCATCGTGCTGCCTGGATCGGCAAGACGTAAGAACCAACGTACAGGCTACCCTAGCACAGCATGAGGACGGTAACCCCGTTTATCTGCAAACCGAATAAATGCCGGCAGCTCAGACCCTTGCATGGAAATCTCTTGAAGAGTGACTACCCAATCTGATTAGCCAAAGCTAGACGAAGCACTTGCCACGCGCCAGCTTGAGATCCACAAGTAACATTACACAGGCCGGGTCCTGGATTAGGGTGCGCATCGCCATCCCTGCACAAATCTCTCTGCCAGCCAGTGGCACTAGGACCAAACCCTAGTCAGGCCGTAGACTGGCGCCGTCGACCAACTTGAAAATTGTAAGCCCTAGGCTGATAACCAAATTTTTCATCAAGCGCTTTAGCCTCGGTGCCCAGAGTCTCGGCTATATAGGTCGCATCACCTCTCTTGCTGACAGCAATCTACCAAAAGGGTTTCTCCGCAGGATAGTTAGCATGGAGCTTGCGAACCTGAGCGCATCAGCCCACTTGGGCAATTTCTTTTGCCACTTAAACATAAGTAACACTTGGGGCACCGCCACTCAATCACGTAGCCGCTTGGTTACTGAAACTTGACAAGGAGCATGACCAAATTTGCGGGCCTTAGCTTGCCTAAGTTTGGCTTTTGCCGCGTGTGTTTGACAAAAGCCCCGGGATAAGGAACCCAGTCCCTAGCCATTCTTCGCAACTTAGCAGTTGAAATTTCAGGATGACGAGCTTTGCGATGCCGCGAAGCCACTTCAGCACGGAGTCGTGGATCAGGACTAGGCAAACCCACCTCACATCCCTGAACGCTTTCACTAAGGGAATGTCAGCGCTGGGCTGGGGCAGAACGTTAGGAGCCCGGCAAGGGATAATGAAGTTGTAGTCCTGTTCAGGATCCACAGCAGTGTTCCTACAGGGGCATTGCCTTTTGGTGCGACGCTTGTGAACTTTAGACGTAGCCGAATAAGAGTGTTCTTGGTAGAAGCCTTGGCAACCAGCTGCTGCATGAGGCCGTGAGGTTTGAGGGAGCCAGTTTTTGAGGCTAGGAGTTCCCGAATTCTTCCCGTTACCCCGTAGCAGCGTGCCAGGCCGGGCAACGACAGGTTCAATGCGCCAATCCTTATTGACAGCTTTGTCTTCAGGCAGGATCAAAGCAGCGCAATGCTGATCTTTAAGGCATTGGCTCAAAGCCGGTTGCTTGCGAGCTTCAGTAGCAGCGCTCTCGCGCAGAGGTTCAATGTTCCATCCAAGCTCCCATCCTTTCATGTCGTCATCCCATACCAAAGCCGTAAGGGAACGCTGAAGCCGTGTGGCTATGACTGCAGAGACATACTCATCGAGTGTCTCGGCGACAACTTCGGCCTTTTGCCAGTTGTCCAAGCCGTGGTAGCTTTCCGCACTTGTTACGAGGACAAGGTGGCTCGCAACAAGGTCTGGGATGAAACCAACTTCCTCACCTTGGGTTTGGGCGCAGGCTAGACGTCTGTGTCTGCGGGGACTAGCTTGAAGAATGCGCGTATTTTGTTTCCCAGACAGCGCAGCACAATAAGAAGAACTCCTTTAATTACATGCTGCGGCCATCCTCTACGGGAAACCAAAATTCGCGCGTTCGTTCAAAACGGCTCCGGACAGCAAGACCCGCTGCGCAGACTGCTGAAAACAACCAACAAGCCTCAAGAATGCGCGGTTTTTCATTCCGTGAATCGTTCTGCATTCAGGATAGCTTCGACGTGGCCATCCGCAATGGGAGCGAAAAATCGTGTATTCCGTGAAAAGGCAACGTGCTCCAAAGAGCACGAAACACTGCGCACAGTGGTGAAAACACACATGCCGACTTTGCGGCTACTGACATGACAAGCACTTTGCATGTTACAAATCCGACGTAAAAAATCCGGGACTCTTATGCCCCGACTCTGAACCCTCAAAAGCCTCGAAACATTGCAAAACGTGTGTTTTTCCGCACATGTGACCGAATCGCGTCCGGGCAAATGCCCAGGGCACGCCCTAGTAGTAGTAATAGTCGTGGTGGTGGTGGTGGTGGTGGTGGTGGTGGTGGTGGTGGTGGTGGTGGTGGTAGTAGTAGTAGTAGTAGTAGTAACAGTTGTAGTAGTAGTCATCAAAATCTTAAGAGTAGGCTGACCGAGTCTCATGTTTTTGGCGTCAAACATCTGTTGCGTCAACTCGGGAACCTTGGCTGGATCTGCGACTCCGAAACCAGCCAGGACATTTGAGCTTCCTTAAAGGGGTTTAGGGTGTAGGGTCTAAACTCCTAGTATCCCTTTAATACCCACCCCAAAATACTCCCAAATATAATCCTTTTATATAAGCCCGTTAAGGGAGTTTAGATTATGGCTCAATTGAGGCATTCCATCTACTGGAGGATGACTATCCGCTACCTAGAACCTGAACAAACAAAAAAAACAAAGGCTTGCTTGCCCGGTTCAGTGACAGTCAGCGCGCGGTATTGCTGCGAGCCACGGGAAGTCAGCGGAGCAAATCCGGTCATGAAGAAGTGCAGGCCTTCGCAAGGCTTGGTGAGGCTCGCAAGCTGCGTGGGCCAATGTCAACGTGCTAGAGCAATGCTGGGGCGAATAACGCTAACAACAATAAGCCATAGAGCAACAGCCCAAGAAGGCCAGGCATGGATTGACCATTCTGGGAAAGAAATCGCGTCTGCATCTGGACAGTGCTCAAACCCCTCACCCTAAGGCCAAAGCCGCGTGCAAATAGCCGAGTGCGCATGCATAAATCCTGTAAAAATCTCCTCTGCCTGCCCCCCAAACGGATCATCTACTGACATAGGATTTCCTGGGTTCACCTGTCCACTGGGGCCAACAACATTCACAAAATACAATCCTGCAAACAGCCACACGGACCGGAAAATCGGATGAAGAATCGATGAAATGAACAATTGAGGCTTGACCCCCTAGATTTCATTTTATCGCATCCGACCCCTATGCGCTTAGGATATTCTTAGGATGATACTTCGATGCAAAAAATGAAAGCGATACCCATTGTTCTTGTCAAGGCGTCCCAAAACCGATCTCTTGGGAATGCTACAGTTAGATGTACCGAACAAAAGAACCCAGAAGCTGTCTGCGGTCTAGTCGACGCGGGAAGGGCACCAGGTTCACAGCAATCTTACGCAAGTCGCAGTTCAACCTGAACAGTAGTCTTGGAATTCCAGCATCTTATGGAGTACAAATGGAGCATGGAGCAATCTCAGGCCGTAAAGGGTGTCTTTGATCATGCAAAGAAGCTTGATTTTTTGCCAAGCAACTGTCCTGGGAAACGCAAGCAGCAAGTCACGCCACCTTAGGCAGCCGTCTGCAATGTTCGTTGTTGTGCTCTGTTTGATACGAGTAGCTCATAAGCCTAAGCTCAAGGAGATTCACAATATGATTGCTGTTCAGTGCCACAATGCACAATTCAACTTCCAGTGGTTGTCAGCTGGCAATGCAGACTTGATTTCCGTTCAGGTTGATTCCGCCAGCACAGGCACCGCCCCGTGTGGCCTTTTCCCACAAGGGTAGGCAAGTGCGGGTTCCTTGCAGTGTCGCGTGAAGCTGCGGCTCAGTGGGATGCCACGTGAGCCCTGGACTACATGTGTAGTATATGCCTTAATAGGTCCCCCCCAGACACTATATAGTCCCCTATAGGTGCCCCCAACCTAAATTTAGTCCGCAGCTCATGTGTCTTCTTGATCCGCCAAGTCACTCATGGCGGCAGAGACCAAGTGGTTCAGGTCACCGTAGGTCGGCGTAGTAAGCTTCCTCTGTCATTGAAGCAATATCCGAAGGTAAGCATTCCAGCAGGCACGGCATCTTTACTTATTTAATACGTCGCACTTCAGGGCACATCACGTCTGGGACTACAACGGTGCAAACTGAGTCAGAGTTGTGCACCGATGATGCTAATGGGGAAACATCAATCACCACTTTCATCGACGTTGTTGTCTCATGTGCTTGCTTGTTGTAGATTCAACGTGGCAAATGTACGACCATCTTCTTATTTAATCCTTTGGGATCCTTTTGGCTACGACCACTACCCAAGAGACAGCAAAACAAACAAACTACCTAGGTCACAACAGGATGACACTCATTTTCAGGATTAATCCCACCTGACAAGAAATGTCCCTGCCCGCCCTCCTCAACAACAGCCCACCCAGCCTATATAGTATCATTTTAAACTGTGGGGTATTGAGAAACCCTAAACCCTAAAGCATGACGTTCATTTTCAGGATTGGGCTTGCGGCTTGAGCTGAGGAGCAGCGTCCGGAAGCAAATGTCGTACAAAGCTTCGTTGTCCTTTCATCGGGCTGGCTGTGAGGGTCCGTTGAGAAAGCACCGTATGAGCTACAGTGGTTTAGGGTTTAGGGTTTAGGGGTTTAGGGGTTTAGGGTTTAGGGGTTTAGGGTTAGGGGTTTAGGGTTCTAGGAGATCAGTGGACCTGGGCTGCTCACTGGGGAACCCATTAAAGTGATAGTGGGGTTTTATGGGGGTTATATTGGGATAATGGAAAAGAAAATGGAAACTACTATTTAGGATATTAGGCACTATAATCAAATCGCAAAACCACCCCTATATCCACCTTCAATGGCCCCTAAATAAGGCTAATATTGACAGTAGCTCACCTAGTATCCCTCTTAATAACCCCTGCAGTAGTCCCCGATATAATCCCTTGTATAACCCCCTTCAAGGAGTTTAGACTATAGCTCATATACTGGAACGGAAATCCAATAAGCAAGGTGTTGGCATCTATAAGCAGTTTTGGAGAAGGGGATCTCAGCTTCGCTAGAAACGTTTGACGCTACGCTCCAAAGGGGGTTCTCAAGAGACTCACAGGTTGCAAACGGGCAGCAAAACGCACAACCTACAAGTAGGCAGGTATATCACGAAGCCCTAGTGTTATGTATCGGTTTAGGGTTTAGGTTATCCATGAGAGACAACAAGGCTACAAGGCTCAGAGTTTGAGATCTTCGCTACCTAGAGCGAAACCACACCGACAAGCGTCCAGCAAGAAGGACTCATCCGAGTTCTCCACGAGCTGGTGGAAGCTCAGGACCTTACTCACAGGTAGTCTTTTGAGTTGAGAGTTGGGGCCTGAAAAATTGGATCTCTCTGTCCACCTACACAACTTTTCACAAGCTTGGCCCTCGTTATTACAAATTGTCAGAATATAGCATTCTCTGAAACATAGCCCAGGGACGGCGTTGTACGGCTCGACCACCGTGTCAGAGACCTGCCAGGTGTTTCAGCTGAATCAAGGGGTAGTTTGTGGGAAGGGTTAGCAAATTAGGTATCCAACTTCTAAAGGGTTTTAATAGGCTCATGCTAAGCTTACTAGGGGGACATAGTATACTACCTAGTACCAGAGTCCATCAACGTAGGCTCTGTGGGAGTTTGCTGAGGTACATACTCTTAGGGTTTAGGGTTTGGAGGAGTCAGGTTATGCAAGCAGTCATGGGACATTTCGGAAAATCATGTATGGAGAGACTCCATGGATGAACGAAGGGCTCGCGGACTATGTGCCAATTTGTGCAGCTGCCAGAGCTCAATTCGGGATTTACCCGCACTAGGCTGAGCGGTTCATGAACCACACGGGCAAGCGAACACTGCCCGAAGCCGTCCTGAAAGAATGAGTCGCATGCAGCTTTCGGATCCCATTCAAAGCTGCAAAATCACATGAACTCAGTGGCCTAAATGCCAAGGATTGCAGTGGAAAGCTCACACTTAAACACCGTACTATTTGGGGGCGTCCCGGCCCTGCCTTGGGAGAAGGGATCACAGAGAACGTCTCCATGATACGATCAGGGTACCTTAGCCCCAACAAAGTTAGGTAAGCTAGGTCATTGCTTCCACAAACCAAGGCATGTAGATTTTGTGTAACCACTTCCGGTATGCGGTGTCAATGTAAAGGAAAGGATTCAGCAATGGGGATCATGTTCAAGAGCCACGGCCACAGGGCTACAGTTGTGCATTCGGGTAGATTTGTCACTGCAGTCCAAGCCCTGCGTGCCTGAGCAGAAATACATCCTCAAGGCTGTAATAGTTGTTAGCGCCTGGAGGCTAAGCGATTGACAACTACAATATCGCACTGGCAGTACTGTGCGCATTTGAAACGAACAGGGCCCCATCTTACTTGTATAGCTGTGCAAGAATACGCCAGCATCCTGATTGCATGGAACGAGATCCACAATTTGAGAGTCCGCAACCCTCCTACGCTCTTGCGCGCTCCTCTCTGACTCCCTGCATCATCCCTACGATGCCCGTCTTTGGGAGTTTCTGAAAAAAGGCCCCCAAGGTCCGGGGGCATGATACGGGGTGCTTGGATACATCTCCTTGGGAAACTCCCACATGTGGGAGCTTCAAGAAGAACAGGGCCCCAATATAGGCTTCCGAACTAGTTTATATAGAAACCTCATCCCAAAAAAAGACCCCCTAACTGCCCCTCAAAGTATGCAACATGATAGCCCTAACCCCCAAAAGCGGCCAAAAAGCCTGCAATTCTAGAGACTTTTGAGGGTTTAGGCCCAACTCATGGCAGCCCCCAAGTCCCCTGTCATAATCTGCTCTTGGCCCAAGAGTCTCCTCACGCACCTGCTATAATTGAAGGCTCTAGCTTGAGGGGTCATATGGGGATTCTATAGGGTCATATAGGGATTGTGTAGGGATTATATAGGGCGGGGTTATATAAGGGTTAGAGATGATGGAAAAGAACATGGAAACTACAGGCTTGACTGAGGGTTCTCGAAATGGGAGACCCTTCCGGGGACCTTCGGGGCATTGTTTTGGCAATGGAAGACGGCCCGATTCTAGGGTTCGCTACTTTGGACCTAGGATTCGGGAGAGCTGGTTATTGAGAGAGTGCAAGGCGATCCGCTGAAACATGGCATGTTAACTACATTTGGGTCTCCGTATATTCCTGCTAGGTATTCCCCTCTTTCTGTTTGAATTTGCCTTCCAAGCTTCACTGACTACCCACTGCAGACTGCCTCCACTTTTGCTGCATGTAAGTTTGTGACTGTAGCCCCTGACTACCATAGTTTAGGTCCTTGGCTGAAAAACAAGATGTTAAAGTTGTAGGCTGGCCAGCTTCTACGTCACCATTTCCAGGTAACATCACGAGTCTGAGGTCTTCAGCCAATGCAAGTGGTTTTCCCAATTTAGGGGGTCCCCATAGTAAGGATTATGATTATAATCTACTGGGTCCGTCTTGGGGTCGTTTTATTTGGGGAAACTACCAAGTCAAACCAAGCGCAACTCAGAACTGCAATGGCTGTGGTTTGATCTGTGCTCGAGCTTCTGACCTTGGAGATCAACAATCCCTATAGCAACCCTATAATGTAAACCATACATAGTCCTTATATTACCCTTTATAATCCTCATAGGGTTACTGTACCTCGCGCCTTGGAGATCAGCAAGGTTCCCATGCCGGCGCCGGTGCCACCCCCTAGAGAGTGGCAGAGCTGGAAGCCCTGGAGGCAGTCGCAGCCTGCATGGGCCAGACACGAGGGCAACAAGCGCAAGCCTGGACTAGAAATCAACCGACCCAGGCGTCCGACTTCAATTCCCTCCAACGAATTGTATCTGGTCGGCTTGTTTCCCGCCTTCTGCCTCCTTGCGCACAACGTCGAGCACCGAGTCAATAAGTTCTGCACCCTCAGATCATATGGAATGCATGGGTCTGCTACATGTCCTCTCACTACGTTGACCTTCTGCCGAGAGTTTGAAGGCGAGGAGTCGAGAGGTCCCGTATCTTCAGGCCTCTTTTGTTTACCATGTTTACCAATTTCAACTTTTCGACCTGCCAGACGCGTGATGCAAAAGCTCCTAAGCCATCGCGGTTCGCAGCTCAGGCGGGCTGAGTCCTGGACTTCAGTGTAATGACCTGAGTCATAGCCCAAGAGAGCTGTCTCTAATTAGCATTCCGATTTTTGACTTCTCCGAATCCACAGCTTTTGGTCTGGCTGCCTCAGCCTGAATGTCATGGTCAGCTGCAATATCTTAGAACCAGGAAAGCACCCAATTGAAAGTGAATGCTGAAGGGCTCAAGCAGATGATTGTCGATTGCTTTTGGACTTCGCTGCGGCGAACTATGTTATTCCTCCACAGTGTCCAATATAGCTGACCAGCACACGCTCATTTGCAAGGATGTGAAATGCGAAAGGCTTCTGGGCATCGGCTTTGCCTGGGCGCCGGGCCCTTAGCCCAGTTGTTGCCGGCTCCTCAAACAAAGAAGTAACTTCTTGGGTAGCTGCTCATGCAATATACTCCCCTGGATTCCCTACCTGCCACCTCGTATTACTAGTATAGTCTGGTAGAAGTGTGTGGCTTTGGGTCATGACGTAGTTAAGCATACGTGGAATATGTCAAGCAATGCTGACGGTCCTTCAAGCAGCCGCCCGCAAAAATTGAGAAACGTTGCTGGAATCCGGGGAATTTTACACAGCCCCAAGTCAACAGAGCCCCTGCACAAGTAATGCTCTTTGTCTGCCTGCTGAGCAGGATATACTGCGGTGTTTTCTTCAAAGAACAGCGGCCGTCAAACAAGTCTACTCCTGAAATTTCAGATTCATGTGTAACAGTGCTCATGGACATTTAGGTGCCAGCATATACCGCTATTCGACGCATTAAGTGTAAGGATCCCCGTCAAAGAGCCAACATGTTGAGAAACCCCAACGGGTTGCTGTCCTGTCTGTCCAAAGACAAAGTTGTCTGGGCGGAACAGCTGACCAAATGGCCCGGCTCGGACGGAATCCATGGTTCCTGACGGTAATGCATACTTGTTTGTCGTTTCAGCTATATGCTTCCAATTTGGCTCGCGATGGCAACGACCAAACATTTCGAAAGGTTTCTCGGTGAACGACGTTTCCAAAACCTGGACGTGGACACACAAGTGAACCTCCCTGCTGATTCCCCAGCAGCCATATGTTTGCTTCTTGCTGCTGTTGAATTCTGAGGGTTGGGGTGCAATGAAAATTTGTTGACAAACGGTTGAGTTATAATTGAAGCCATGAGCATGGCGACACTGTTCCAACGTTGGATCCAAGTACGCAGCTTGATTTTCACTATTCTGTTTCATTTGTACATCGGAAAACTACTGACACTTGCAACATTTAGCACCCGTTAAATTTGATTGAAAGTGTTGCACCATGGGTGCGCATGCTTCGATTACTCATGAAGAAGCTTTGGGACTTTGGGCAATTTTGCACTCGCTGTGATCTTTACGCCAACAGCTTGACGTACAGTACGGCAACCTAACTGAAAACCACCCTGTTGATGTTGGTTATTCTCTCCCACAAGTTATTCCGAAAGGCAACCGTAGACACGACAAGCACCGCTTGAATTTCGCTTTGAGAAACCGCACTGCAATCCCCGACTTCACAAAACATGCAAGAATCCTTCCTGGCCAAACCCAAGCACTGCGCCCGAAGCAATGGCACTGGACTCTGACCTGTAAACATCCCGACATGGCCTGGCTCAAGATCCATCAGGACTGCACGGGGAACATAGCGTCCGCCAGTCGCCTCGTTGAAGTACACCTGTGTGTGAGTGAACTGCGCACAACCTAGCTCCGGAGAGGGTTAGAGGCAGGGAAAGGCCGGAGCAAGCTCGGGTTAGGGAACTAGGCAGCGCAAAGCTGCCGTGAACAACTAAAACCTCAAAATGCATTGGCCAGAGGCCTCGGCGATGACCACAGCAGGCCACAAAGAAAAAGGCTGTAACCTAGGCAAGGAAACCCTAAGAAGAACCGACTAACTGTCTTCGGCAACAAGATCGCCCATCTTTGCAATGGAGATGCCTAAAGTGCAGGCAGCGATCTGTCTTTGCACCCTCTGAGCATGAGAAATGCCGGCATCTTGAGTAATCCACCCGGATTTACTGAGTACCCGGGGTTGTTGCAGCCACCAAACTGTGTACTGAGGCGCGCTCTCAAAGGGGCGAGCTCGGGGCATTCAGCAAATCTGTGCGTGGCCGATCCCTCAGCGGCACCGCAGGTGCAGCCTTGTCTACTGGCATCACGAAGATACCATCGGCGGGTGTGGGTTTTTACGGCGCCACCGCGCCAGACTTTCAAAGCGGTGAGATCGGGGGGTGAGAGACTGCGACACCAGCGCTTCCACAAGCTTGACTGAACCTCCAAATCCACCTGCTCAACCCCTTCAGAATCGAACCGAGATCGCTGCACTTTGGCAAGTGCCAGAACACGGGCAGCCACCCGCAGAGCATGGCCTTCATCGGCTGAAGGGTCGAAGCCCTGGTCAATAG